TTAAAGAGAGAGAAATGTGGTGGGCCCATCCCCCTTTTAATTTTTGTGTTTTTTATTTTGTCGAACTTTAAAATTAAGGTTTTACTATTGAAAAAATTATTAAATATAGAATTAAAGATGCGTCTCAAAAATCCATCAGAAAAAGTTTTTTTTAATGTTGAAAAACCCTCTAATTGATTATCTTGACATCGAGATGAGTAAATATGAAAATAAAATAAAAAAATTGAGTTTTAAAAGTAGTGCATCTTGCAGCATATTATCTAGACCGTTCATTTTTTAAATTTAACTATTTTTAAAGTTTAAAATAATTAAAAATAAAAATAAATATTCAAATAATTTTAAAAAAATTTATACCAAAATTACATAAAATTTCCATATTCTTATTTAAAGTTGCAACCTTAAAGAAACCACATCCTTTACAATTTAAAAGCCTCCTTTTTAAAAAGATGTCCCGTCCCCCTAAAAGCCTCCTTTTTAAAAAAGATGGACCATCCCCTCAACCCCCTGCCTCCCCTCTTATGACCACCGATCCACGAGTGCTACACACGTGGCACACACCCACAATCCTCCATTACCTCGTCCTGTTTTATATGCTCTACCATCAGTGACCCTTTGGAACTCTTCAATGAGGGACTAAAATGTATAGGTGAAAGAGAATTTCCAACGCAAGCGAGACAGAGATAGAGGGAGAGAGATGGGTAGTGATGGTTTCTATAATTTTGTTTTGAAGAACAATAGGCAACGAATTTTTGTATAGCTTTTTTAGTGTGAAATTGTATATAGTGAGATTATTTATTTTTACTACAAGGATGTTATAATCACTCGTACTTATTAGATATCAAATTGGAAGGTTTGGACTAATCATGAAGTTCAAGATTTTTTTTTAAACTCTTCTGTCTTTTCAATGACACTTTGACAACTACTCATTTTGAAATTTTAGGGACAAGTACTTGTAACCTCCTTCACAAGAAGTAAATGGTCCCTTTGTATAGAGCAATGTTCTCTTTTATTATTATAGTAGTGGAATAGAGAGGAAACATCTATATAATTTAAAAATTATCAAAAGTTTACATGCTCTAGCAAAACCTCATCCTCCATTCACACTCTGGTAAAATGGTAGTGTTTTTAGAACCCAAGTTTGGTTCTAGTGAAATATATATATATATATATATATATATATATATAAGGTAATCTACGGTCTACCTTTGATATACAAAGTTCGCAAATCACCTTATTACAAAGAATTGATTGCCAAATAAAAAGAAAAGAAGACAGTGTTAAGATGCATACACATAATTAAAACTATGTAGGCTAAGTGGAGATGTGCAATTGAAATTTTGTGTGGTTACTGCATACCAATGAAACTGAAGGGTAAATTCTATAGGATAGCTGTGAGACCAATTTTACTCTATGGGACGGAATGTTGAGCGGACAAAAAATAATCACCCATAGAATGAGTGTAGTGGAGATGACGATATTGAGATGGATGAATGGCAAGACAAGAAGGAATAGAATTTGAAATGAATCCCTTCGGAAGATTTTAGGTGTGGCATCAATAGGCGATAAGAGGAGAGAGAGAGTAGACTTAGATGAGTTGGTGAGGATCTTTAGATCGTCATGAGGGACCCATGTGCTCAATCTGGGAATGAAATGATGTCTCTATCATGGCTTTCCAAAATAAGGCTTATTTGGTCAGGGTTTCCGTAGTCCATTGGTATTTTTGGTTCCTGTGGATCTAGGTTACCACTGGCTTCTTCATTATTCGCATCGAGGATACAAGCTTGTCAAAAATACCCTACAACAATATCGTGTTATCCATATCATGTTCCATGGTTCAGTTAATACTTTTCCCTTGATGATTGTCCTAACAACCTCAAATTATTATGTTTTTTTGGGTAAGATATATTGTTTGTTAACTATGTTCTCTCTCTTTCTCCCCCTCCCTCCCCTTCTCTCCCTCTCACTAAGACAAAACAAGTTCCCCTCTCTCCATCTCACACGAAACAAGTATGAAGAAAGTGATAATTGAAATGTGATGGTACAAATTTCATTTTAGATACCATCAAGAAAAATTTGCACCTCAACTTGGGCACAAAGACTCCACACATGTAGAGTTCCATATATTTCTTTTCACTTCATTTTTAAATTTAAAAATGTCACAAGAATGTATTAATTATATATTTTGAATTGATTCAGATGGCATGAGAAATAATTTTAGCGTCGAATTACTTTCTTTATCCATTTAGATGAGATAGGGAGGATGAGTCATTAACAGTGAAGTGGAATTGAAGCCAACAAACGCATAAACATGAGACAGGTTCTCAACATTTACATATTTTCAATAAAATAACTAAAAACTATAATACTATACAATTATTGTTTTAGAAAACCTAAAAATTAGATTTTTACGAAATTTTAGAGATTTTTAAAAACTTTTTATTAATGTTGGATCCCTCCGATTCGCCGATCTCTACCCCTCATCTGTCAATCCCAACTGATTTTTCAGATGGATGATCCGAGTCACCGATTTATTCTTTAAACCTTGCTTTTTCCCATGTTTTAAAACCCGAATTGGTAGGACGGAATGCTCACCCACAAATCCATGTTGGATCACTAGATCAACAATCCAAATTGGAATATGCATCGGTGATCCAAAACATATTAAAAAATAAATAAAATAAAATGAAAATAAAAATAGAGAT